AAATGCCACCACCACAAGCAAAAACATAAGCCATTGGGCTTCTCCTTGACAGTCTTTTGCAGAAGCTTCACTTCCTTTGTCCCGAAGACCTTCCCAGCCTTGGGCCTTGATCAGATCGGGTATAGTCATGCCCACATGCTCCTCAAGTGCAGTATCTAGGTCGATAAAGGGACGTCCGAGAGCGCGTGCTGCCCAGCCACCAGCAGTTGTCTTGCCAGCACCCCGCATTCCGATGATAAAAATGGACCTCTGCTCAGTTCTTGATGCAGCTTGATGAGGGTTGGGTCGAGGTGGCAATTCCACGCCTGCAAGCTCTGCCTTGAAGATTTGGCTCAAAGAGTCCCAGTATCCCGGCCAAGTTTTACCTGTGCACTCCTTCTCGAGGATGAGCACTGGTTCGGGGGCAACAAGTGCGAGGACAGCAAAGCTCATGGCTACGCGATGGTCATCGTAACAGTGGATGCCAACTTTGGGAGCATCAAGCTGGTAGCCTCTGCCATCGACTTCAATGCCGTCATCAAACTGCCGGCAAGTTATACCGAACTTTGCGAGCTCATCTTCCATGGCCTGTATGCGGTTGCACTCTTTTACGCGCTGATTTGCGATGCCGTAAATTCGAGTTGTAGAAGTAGAGCCGTTTGAAGATGCCACCGCAGCCAAGACAGATGCAGTTAGGAAGGCATCAGTCATGGGTTCCATGTCAATCTCCTTGACAGCTTTGAGTTCGCCACGTGGTGGACCAGTGACGGTGGTTGACGTCTTGGATTGCTCTACCTTGCAGCCCATGGGCTTGAGCACCTCCACAGCAAAGCGAGCATCACCCTGGAGAGATCCGGAACCAATGTTTGGCACCGTGCATGTAGTACCGGTAATGGCTGCGATAGCCAAAGGGTATGTAGCTGAGCTAGCATCACTCTCAACCTCATACTCTGAAGGATTGGTGTATGGCTTATTGGGGATGTGGTAGGTATTGAGATCGCTTTCAGACCTCTCGACCTGCACGCCGAAAGCAGCCATCATGGCAATGGTCATGTCAATGTATGGCTGCGAGATGACCTTGCCACCTACCAAACGTAGCGTGACTGGCTTTTTCGAGTACGGTGCGCTCAGTAGGATGGAAGATACATATTGCGAAGAGACGTTCGCGGTGAGCTCAATGTCGCCGGTGAAAGAGTCTGAGCCGAATCCGCCACAAGCTGAGATTCGCAGGGGAAGACTACCCTCCTTCTCTTGGTAGTCTATCTCGACACCCATAGTGCGAAGTGACTTGACAAGTGGGCCTATCGGTCGCTCTTTCATGCGAGCATTGCCGGTCACGATTGTGGAAGTCGTATCCTCTACGGGCTGGCAAAGTGCGGTTACGGAGGTCAGGAAGCGTGCAGCTGTGCCCGCGTTTCCAAGGTATAGCTCGTTGCTGGATGCCTTGAGATTACCGCCATTGCCTGTAACTACGAGCTCCTTGCCATCGTTCTCCCATGCGAAGCTGGCGCCTTGCATTTTGGCAAGCGCATCCAACATGACCTGTGTATCGTCTGAGTGCAACAGATTGGTAATACGACATGAGCCCGTTCCAAGTGCGGCGAGCACGAGTACTCGGTTTGAGATACTCTTGGATCCTGGAGGCGTGCATGTCACATCCAAATCAGTTGGAACACCGGGGTGTACGGATATACTGGGTGACAGCGCAATCCTGATGATGCGATCCTCGACCGAGCTAGCCTTCTTTTCATATGTCCTGCCAATGCCAGAAAGAAGTACAATCTTCTTGGTCTTGCCGGCATTCTTCTTGTCCACGGCCATGATTTTGATAAGCTCGTCCACGGGACAGTGCTTGTTCGCGGACCGTTTCCGCACAGTCTTGTCGGCTAAGGAGGTAGGTAGTCCGTAGCTCGCAATGCACTTTGTTAGGCGCGCGACTGCAGAGGGGTCCAGTACACCCAAATGTCGCGCCAGCTCCGCCTCCTTGACCATTCCAATGGCGACGCATTCCCCGTGGAGGATTTGCGGGGTGAGAATGGCTTCGTATGCATGACCGATCGAGTGTCCGAAATTCAGCAGGTTGCGCAGTCCGCCTTCGCGCTCATCTGCTGAGACAACTTCAGCCTTGACGCGTACCGAGCCCAATACTATCCGCTTCAGGATGCTCGCTATGCTGTCAAAGTTCCTGCGTCCATCGACGGGCTTTTGGTCAACGGCAGCCAAGATCATGTCCGCATTGCCCTCTAGCGTCGTGAATTCCTCCTCATTCCAGATGGCAGCCGTCTTAACCACCTCGGCCATGCCATTTATGACCTCCCTCTTGGGTAGCGATTCCAGGAATTGCAAATCAATGTATATCCTCTCGGGCTGCCAGAAGGCGCCAACCAGATTCTTGCCCGCAGGCACGTCAATGGCCGTCTTGCCGCCTATGCTCGAATCCACCATGGCCAGGAGCGTTGTGGGCACGTTGACAAACTTGATGCCGCGCATATAAGTTGCCGCGACATAGCCTATCATGTCCCCGATTACACCCCCGCCCAGAGCGATTATGACGGTGTCGCGCACGCATCCTTGCGACAGCAGCCAGTCCTCGACGGCGGCTTTGGTGTGTCGTGATTTGGATGTCTCGCCTGGCGATATCTGGTACGTGAGGAGTCGCGGGCATGAGGAGAGCGAGGATGCAACCGAAGCGAAGGCGCGCTCAAAGGTGGGTGTGTAGAGAGGGCCGATGTTTGTGTCGGTGATGAGGACGTATGTCGATGAGGGGATGTTGGTGAGTAGATCCTGGGCGATGTAGTTTTGCCAGATACCGTAGTCGACGACAATCGAGTCTTTGCCCAAGATACTGACCTTGGTGGGCTCACCACCGCCTACTCCATTGCTCGCCATAGTCGCTTGTCGCGTTGCGAGTCAGACTTCGCACAGGGACCTAGTGCGACCACCAATAGCGAATTGGTACAAAGTGAGAGTATCAAACAAGACAATTGAACAAGGAGAGTTTGTTCTTTTAGCGCATCATGCTACACCATATGTGGAGGGTGAGTCAAGCTGAAAGTTGCCTTTCTGTGATATGAGTCTTATTGCAATTAATTGTCTGGCCTCACCGCTACCGGACCCTAACCTAAGGATATGACGCGGGGCACACCATGTAATCCCCGAACCTCCAACCCCGAGACTAAACTCACCACTTCAACCTACACTATCATATCTGACGTGATCATAGTCCCCGCCCCGGTGTATAGTTCATGGACGGGCTCATCAAAGTATCGGTGCATGTATGCAAGTCATCGAAAATAGCATCCAGGCCCCCAAATTCTTATCTACGAGCCGCTTGTTGGATCAAGGTAAACATGCAAGGCCAGGACTTCCAGACGCAAGATATCAGCCTCATGCTTTTTAATCCAAAAGTTGCCGTCTGCAGCTTAGCGTCGCGCATTTGCGTTCCGCCTCGTTCGTGCTTTTCATCGCATGCGACTCGGGATGTGGTGACTAAGCACTGCGTTATCGGAGACCCCAAGCTCTTGCCTCTCATCTACGTCTGTACCTCCGCCTCTCTCGATCTATACCATCATCGTGGCCATCACCTGTCTCATCCCCAAGATTATAGCCTCTTCTCCGCCGCTTGGCTATTCCTTATACCCTTTTGTCCGTCCCTCACAGCAGTCCTGTTCGCCTTGAGAATGTCTGAACGCACGCGTCAATCTTCCAAGCCCTCTACTTGAGGCGCTGCACTGCTGCAATGCTCTGCTCTCTTATTTGCGAGTTTGCGCCTTCCTACGTAGATGCGAAACCAGAAAATACCGTTTGATCCGGCTCGGCAACAACACCAGGGCATTAGCGAGGCTCGCTATTCACAGCGTGCTATCACAATGTGTGTATATCTTTGCTGAACCGGCACCGTAGACCTTTAGTGGAATCTGTTCCGCAGTCGGTAACAGCTCAAAATGATTCTAGTCTGTGTCATTTCCGACATCTTGGACGTGACACGCGCTTGTTTGTAGATAACTTTTGCCAAGTACAACGACGCAGGCTAAGGCTGTGGCGGCTTGGAGTCTGATGTCAACAACAAGAACGCGAGCGGAGCAAAGGAACACAGACAATGCACGGTACTTGCGCTGCACCGTGTGCGCCAAACGACCGAAACAGAGCTTGTCCGTCAGCGAAAAGGAGGGGTATTGCTTCAGAAATGATTTCGTTGATTAGTGGCACTTGATCAGATTTGGCGCGACGAACATCACCAAAAGACCGCTTGTTGGTCAGCACCCTATCCCGCGAGAGCGCGAAGGCTCATTGGGTCGATGGTTGAAACTTAAACACCATGTTTGACCTCTGAAAGGTAACCTGAAAACAAGATATCTGCGTACGTAGGATTGATCTACCCTTGACGAACTATGTCTTGGAACCAAGGGGCTGCAGATCTTGGTCAGCCCTCTATGGCCCAAAACCAGTTGTCCTTTTCATCAAGATGCGAGAAAGCTTGGGACAACCAGCATGCGAAGCCTCCAAGAATGCCACGGCGGATGAACGGATACCGGCACTTTGATAACGTGTATCTTGGTATGCGGTTGAGGATGGGAATTTGGCCAGTTTAGTTACATGCATCCACGATACCAAGGCCATGGCACGTCTCATTTCCCCACGGGGCCGGATGCGCTCTCCAGTTGCTCGGGTTATAAATTCAAGACTGGATCCAATACTTTGTAGTCACTCAGCGACGATCTTTACGCCCTTACATTGTTGTTGGAATCCTCCTTTCTAGAATTTCTACAGAAATCTATATCTTCTGCAGAATTTCCAGTATGGACACCCACGTCCAACAACCGGTGCAGCCAGTATCGGATTACAGGGACGAGAAAGGCTCCGACATTTCCCATACTTCACCATCCAAAGTCGAAGATGCTGAACATGCCGGATTAGCAACAACAGTTGATGCCGCCACTGAGAAGCGCCTCTTGAGGAAGTTGGACATTCGCATCGTCCCAATGATCTGCTGGGTTTACCTCATGAACTTTATGGATCGAGGTATGTATGAAGCTCGGAAGGCGAATACCATTTGACGATTTACAGTCAACATTGGTAATGCACGTCTGTATGGGTTGGAAGAAGATCTTGGAATGGACCCTGCGGGCAACAAGTTCCAGATTGCAGTCTCAATCCTGTTCGTCACCTACGTTGTAAGTTGCACGTCAACCAAACGCCCTTACGATGTGCTGACCTTATCTTAGCTTTTCGAGACTCCTGTGAGTTGAATCTAGATTCATAGTGGGGTCGCATATGCTGATGAGGTTACAGTCGAATATGATCATCAAGAGGATGAAGCCGGCGCGTTATTTAGGTGGTCTCATGTTTCTCTGGGGTTTAGTAGCCACCTTCTCGGCCTTTGTCAACAACTACGCCGGTCTCATCGCGTGTCGCCTTTTGCTGGGTGCACTTGAGGCAGGTCTTTTCCCGGGAGTCATACTTTACTTATCAATGTTCTACAATAGAAGGAACGTGTCTTTGAGACAAGCATGGTTTTACGGCACATCCGCGATAGCAGGAGGACTTGGCGTGAGTATTCCAGTCGAAGATCTCGAGAGAATCTTTGTTAACGATAGCAGGGACTGGTAGCATATGCTATTGGCGAACTAGACGGTGCTGCTGGCTGGCGCGGTTGGAGATGGAGTAAGCTGCCATATCGGAAGTGTTTGAGGCACCCACTAATCCAACTCCGTGTACAGTCATTCTCATCAACGGCATACCAACTGTATTAACCGCTTTTGCCGTGCCCTTTGTTTTGCCAAACAGTCCGGAAACCGCCAAATTTCTCTCCGAAGAAGATCGACGGAACCTCGTCTTGCTTCGCATGAAGGAAGTCGGACAGACGACAGCAGGCCAAGAACTCGTCAAAGAAGATGTCATCAAAGGTATCAAAGATTGGAAAGTGTACGCTTATGCCATTGCTCAATTCGTTGGACTCTGTATGCTCTACAGTTTCTCGGTGTTCCTTCCTACCATCATCAACGGCTTGGGCAGTGGCTGGAGCCGTCAGGTGGTTCAAGCCTTGACAATCCCTGTATACGTTGCAGGCTTCGCAACGTACGTCGTTGCGGCATGGCTCAGCGACAAGACACAAAATAGAGGCATCTTCTGTATTGGCGGCCTCGCCGTGAGCATGATTGGTTACATCTTCCTCATCGCCAACAAAGGTCTTGGCCTCAGTTTCGCCGGCTGCTTCATCGTCGCACTGGGCCTCTGGGTAGCAACCGGCATAGCATTCTCGTGGATCGGCGTCAACAACCCTCGTTACGGAAAACGTGCCTTTGCTAGCGGCATGCAGATTACTATTGGAAACTGCTCGGGTGTTGCGGCACCGTTCCTTTACAGCGCTGACATGGCGCCTACGTATAGGGCTGGATACGGTGCTACGATCGGGATGCTTGCGTTGGGGATTGCGATTTACACGTCGCTTCATATGTACTTTCGCATGAAGAACAAGAGAAAGCTCTCTGGCAAGGAAGACTGGAGGATTGAGGGTAAGACTGGAGAGCAAATTGCGGAGATGGGTGAGGATAACCCGAGGTATCTATACACGATCTAGACCTCTTTTCAGGGACTACTTGTGATGGTCGATGATGGACTCGGTGAGTCTTATCAGAAAGGTATCTGGGTGATTGGCGGTGAGGTTATATAGTGAATTTATTACTTATTAGTTAAATTTGAAATCACCTGTTTCTGACTTGAGCGCCACTGACTTGCTTGCTCCGATCCTGACGGTGCTAATATCTCGATAGTTGTCGGCCCGTATTCTAGTGACATCCCGATACGACATACAAGCACAAGTGCCACAACCGAAAGAAGGGTGCCGATTTTGCGATCGTGCACGGATACTTCTCCACGTGCGCTCTAAGCCTTAATCGCTTTAGTACCATCTTGCATCATTCTACTAGTCAGCCCCTCCACCACTCGGGCCAACATTCAATCTCAACTCATCTTAAACACGACGTTTTTACTTAGTGAATGCCCAACATATCGTTCGCCGGAGCCAAAAAGCGCAAGACACGTCATTCGAGTTACACATTCAAGCCGACGCGCCAAGAACCTGGAATCACCATGCTTGGCTCTGCCGAGAGCGGACTCTTGCGCCTGGTCGACGAACTTCTCCTCAACATCATCGACCATATTGACGCCCGGGATGCGCTATGCAGTCTTGCTGCTACATGCTCAAGATTTCAAGGGCTGGTCGAACCGTACATTTGGCGGGATGTTTTAGTCCTCAAGGGTGAGCATGCGGGTAGAATTGCCACAGCACTTGACAGCCGAGAGGAGCGCACAGACTATATAAAAGATCTGGCGATTCGGTATCAGGATGGCTTTCGAGATGGAATATCAGAACTGAACCACTTCATGGGCTTCATGGGAAAGCTACGACATTTGCACATTGAGTCTCCTTGTCCAAATAACTCGGAATGGCAGGCTGGGCCGGTCTACTTTGACGGGTATTCGAGGATCGATTTCCAGAATTTGATCGCAAGTGCGGTGTATCCACGGTTGGGCATGCAGATGGCGCTCCCGATGCTCCAGTCGCGTAAGTTGAATCTACGATCTAATGGTAGACCGACTGACAGAAAGTAGTAACGTTGCACGCACATGGCTCCGGAGATCAGAAGTTCACCCTGGGTCGGGCAGTCGCGATGTTCCGACATCCAACATTACGGGACATCAGCCTTTCTTGCCTAAACTTTGATGCAGGGAGAGATGAAGAGTTTGACATCTCCGAGGAAGAGGCCAAGTCAACGCCTCTGAGGTCCCTTACGCTCATCGAATGCAACGTTGATGTGCGGTTCCTAGATGCCGTTATGAGACTACCAAAAGCACTGAAGGAGTTGTCGATTGGCGAGCGATTGCACACTTTCCCGGAATGCAAACCCTCTATGGATCCCGAACATCGAACCTCTTCCACTCTATTTCTTACCGCACTTGAGAGGCAAGCCAGCTCTTTACAACGTTTGACCCATTGCGGAGGGCAAATCCGGTACCTTACCCCCAGGCGCACCGATCCCGAAGGCGCCGCAAAGTTGCGCTCGCTCGTGAACCTCGAGTACCTAGAGTTGGGCTTTGAATCACACCTCTATTACTACCTTCGCGAAGGAGGCTTCCCACCAGAGCTCAAGACACTGAAGATGCTGGACTCTGCAATCTCCATCAACGCTGGTCCAAACATAGATGCTCTATCCGTCATCGCCTACCGCTCACTAAGCACTCTCGTAACCGACTGCCTGCCCCGAACCCTAGCGCCTGACTTCAACCTCCATCTCAAGTTCTCCGACCACGCATTTTACAGACTTGCCCCGTTAGCAATGGCACCAAATCAAGCCCAATCTCTCAACAAGCTCTTCTTCGACCGCTCCGCAACCTACAAAATCGCCTCTCTACTCAAATCCTACAGCCCCAACTCTCACTTTTACGTCTCGCGCGAGACGTTCCCGCTTGGAAACAGCTTCATCCCACCGTACATGTATGGCGAGCAGCTCCCTGTCGATGAAATCATGTACGACAGCGACGACTTTTGGCGATTCAATGGCATCAGCTATCGCATCATGGACGACGAAAACCTCCGAAAGGAGATGGAGGAGGAGAAGAAGCTACGGCCTTGCAAGACGTGTAAGAGGAGGGGGTTCAGTTTGGATAGGTGTCGCAGCTTGGGGGATGGGAGTCCATGTGAGCCTTGTCGGTATGGGAGTGTGCTGAGTTGTGAGTGGGATGAGGTTGAGGATGTGGTGAGCATTGCAGACTTGACAGTGCCGGTAGACTAGCTTCTTCTATGCAATTCACAGAACCATATACGTGTTGCACGCATGTGAAGAAGAACCCATGGTGGGCAAGCTAGGTGGTGAATGTGTAGCCGCCAGATGATTGAAGCTGTCAGGGGCTAAATTTAGTGGTGTGGGGTGCTGGCTAGCGGCGGGAAGACGGCAGGCGGAGGGAGTGTCCCCAATCGAGAGTCGCCGGAGTCGCGACCTTGAACATCCGCCGTTGGATTCAGCAAACCACAGTCGTTTCATGACCTGAGCCAACGCTTGATACTCCCGCAGTGCTAGTTTTCTTTTCGCTTTCTTTGTGGTTTCTTCTTCAGCGTGTTTTTGCAGTGTAGTGTGACACGGAAAATGGCGTCTCCCATGATAGAGAGTCGCATTGAGCCTCACAAGAAGGCGCACTTCAGCCTACAAATCAGCGACCGGATAGCGCACAGCGACGAAGCCCAGGGTGATTTCAGCAGTGTCAAGTGTGCGTCTTTAACGCGACTTCTCCTTTCACAGCAACCGACTGACGCCGAGGGCAGATAACCATAAGCCTACTCAGACCTTGGATAGCCGCTCCACCACCCTCACCTCTCCTTCCTCTTCCGGCATGTACAATCTCCGTATTGACGACACGAACGACTCTGGGGACAAGGATGTCTTTACATTTACGGGCCAGAAGTCGCAACTGAAGAAGTCGTACGTGTTGGTTTTGGATCCCTCGAGTCAACAAGCAACGCTGGAGCCTCTCTCGAGCAGTTACACTTTCAACCTTGCGACCAAGAATGGCAAAGATGTCTCTTCACAGCATGCAAAAATATACCCAAAGAAGCTCAAGGACGATGCGCATAACAAGGATGAGGAGGATGATCTGTTTGGGGAAGCAGCGGGTGTCGACAACAATGGAGGAGATCCAGACCCAGACAACCCCTATGACTTCCGCCACTTTCTGAGCAAGGAGAAGGAGAAGCGAGGCGGCGACGAGTCAGACTACAAATACGCGTCGTCACCCGACTACAGAACGGGTACAGGCAGTGCCGTCAACACACCACAATTTGGGGCCAGGACATCAGCCACATCTGTCGCCCCAGCACGGAAACCAGTTACAGCGCCAGCACCCAAGAAGCGCAAACCCGCAGCGACAAACCCCATGGTTAAAGCGAAAAAGACACAGCCAACACCATCCGTCCGCCTCCAACGCACCGCAACAGACCCCAAGCCCAAAGCAAAGGGCAAGGCCGCCGAACCAGCAGCCTCGAAGATCAAATCTGCCGAAATAATCCATTCGTCCGACGAATCCGACGGCGAAGAAGCATCCTCACCCGCACGACCCTCACCTCCCCCACCACAACGACAACCACCACCCCAACAACAACACCACTCGTCCTCTGACGGCGACGACGCAGAAGGCGAATCCGACGACGGCGACGACGGCGGTCTAGAAATTGACATTCCCGACGCCCGCCCCCCACGCCGAAACAACAACGGCCTAGAATCAAACCATGGCTTAGCCGGAGGACGATTCCGACCCTCAGCCAACGGCGGCCCCATCTCGCTCGAAAGCGCCGTCAACAGCGAGGCCGAACTCAGCCCCATGCTACATGCCCGCAACCGCAACCACGCGGCCGAAGAAGAAATCGACTTTGGCGATCTCGGCGGTGACGACGCGGAAGGCGAGGACGACGAGGACGACGATGAGGATCATGATGGTGATATTGAACCTATGGATATCGGACCACCGGTTAGACATGATACGGGTCAGCATGATAGGAAGGGTAGTGTGGCTGGCGATTTTGCTGTGCAGGCGGCGGATGATGATGAGGATGATTTGGAGGAGTTGATGAGGAGGGGGTTGTTGGAGGGGGGGGATAGTAGTGAGGAGAGTGAGGAGGAGTAGTGATATTTGTGGAACGGGGGTACTAGGGGGAAGGGAGGGCGGGGGCGCAAGTAATGAATCTACGAATTGAACATATGTTGTTAAGGTGTGGTTGTTTTTAAAGAATATCTCGGGGGCTGAAAGTGTGTATCGACTATAATGGTTTTATATGCCTCTGAGCCTCTGACTATTATTCAGATTTGCAAGAAAGCTAGGATAAAGCTTAAGCCTGCTTGAGTATCTATCTGGAAAACCTATTTCTGTTTTTCCCTTCTGTGTTTCTTTGCATACATGTTTGTTATCGATTTTGCTCCCCTCCACTTGACTTTACTCCAGTTCACTTCAATCAGATTTGTTTCACCCACTATACTCTACTCTCCTCTCCTCTCCTCTACTATATCACCCCCCACCCCTACCTTCGTTATGTAACAACCCTCCTTTAAACAATCTACCTACCTATGTATTCTAATCTACAGGCTTGATTTGGCGTTGGATCAACCCATGTATCTATATGGCTTCTTCGTTTATGGAGGTTTGTAGCAACAGTGAAGTTAAATATAGGAAAGCTTTCTGTAAGATGTGCAATGGCTCGAAATTAACAGTAGGTAAAAAGGAGAATTGTATGCATCTGTCGACTTTTTCCAGAGAGGTTACGATACAAATAGTTCAGCCATATACTGGCCATACAACTTATTCTATTGTTGATGTGCTTTGCCTCACTTTTAACATATATGTATGATACTTTAATGTACGGTAGTTCTGCAACCCCCAAGCTCTTATTCCTGCGCCGAGGGAAATCCTTACTTCAGTTGGTATCCGTGATATCTCGCAAAAAGACGCCCTTTTTCGCTTTGGCTGACTTTGCTGGAGTTGCGTTTGTGTTGGAGATGTAAGCCCGTACTACGACGCCACAACGCCCGCGATCACAGGACCACCAACACCATGTAAGACCGTACTCGTATCGAGCTGGGGTATGTTGGTAAGACTCGTGCGCTGATGTTTATAAGACACAGATTGGGAGCTCGTGCTCGCCATGAGTTATGGGCAGAGCTATTCGTATGGTTGGCGTAGGCAGTGGTTTTGTGGTTCTGTGTAGGTTCTCACACAAGTGTCCATATCTGGGGTCGAGGAGAGGATGTCGTAGGCAGTTAATTGTAAGGGGCGGTGAGTTGTAATGAGACCTGGCATCCCACGTAAGCACCATCGGACGTTCATCTTTTCCCCTCATCAGAGAGAAATCGAAGATCACAACAACTCCCCGGAGACTCTTGCAAGGGGCTACATTTAATTACAGAGTCTCATGCTGCCTTGTCCCATTTGTTCTCCCTTCAGTCCTCCTCTTCTGCAAGACTGACAAACGCAGATTCGCCATCTGTCCTCTTCCCACCCAATTGAAAAAACTTGTCTCTTCGTTATTGTCGATACAAAAAAGCCATAATGTTGGTAGGGCTGTAGCACTAGTACTGAAAGGAAATAACGATAACTAGGAATGCATTCTGTTCGGTGATGGTTCTGATTGATTGTCTTCGAAGGAGAACTATGGAAGAGCTAGATATAGGAGGTCTGGTCTGAGCGCTGCTCGGATGCCGCGATCAGTGCGCCTGTCCGCGTGACCGAGATCAGTGCGGCCGATCGCGTGGCTGAGATATCGTTGATCTGTGATCCGACACATAATGATTTTGCACGCCCTCTACCTACTTCTCTCACTTCTGCTCTGCCACCAGGCAGCAGCCCAAGATACACCTTACCCTTTGCCCTTTGGATATTACAGAGGCCCACCAAACCCCGCGCCGCCAGGAGTCAAGGTGATAGAACACGGGTGCAGCGTCGACTTGGGCAGCCTATACAACAACAACAGGCTTGACCACTCTGGCTTCTATGAGTGCCCCCCTTTTACCTTCCATGTCTTCAGAAACGCTTATTGCAACGAGCTTGGAAACTATCTATACGCTATTGCCGAGGTCCACGACAAAGGCGCATGGACTATGGAAATTCTCGGAGGACACATAGGTGGTTCAGTTGAAACTACCACACTTGAATTCGCAAAGCAGGATTATGGACAGTCTAGGCATGTAGGCTGCGTCGCAGACGGGGAGGGTCTTGGTATAACTCTCTTCTCGTACGCTTGATGTGTCTTGGTACGTATTGAACCTCCTCTTCTATACTTTTGTCCGCGCTAACAGTCGCAGGGATCCGTACAAGGTGGAGAGTGGAGGACCCGGGGTGGGGCGGGAGCGGAAGCGGCAGAAATGGATGAAGGCGATGTGGAAGCGGCAGGAATGGATGAAGGCAGTGTGGAAGCGATTGTTGGAGAGGTCAGGGGAGGAATAGCGAGTCTTATATTAAGTATAATAAAAGCGTGACTTGATCAAAATCAGCACATGACCCATCAACCACATATGCCTTCATATAGAAATCAAAATCGTAAATGTAAAGCTTAGTGGAGAGGATCGTCGGGATGGTGCGGATCCAGGAATAGGCTGTCTCCACCACGTTCATGGTCCCTGCGCTAGCGTGCGTGGCGTATCCCCAGGCGCGTTGCGTCGTCCCCCATCTTGCGACTATCCTTTCCCTTTGCTTTGTAGATACACCCCACCACCTTACTAACTGACCATTGTCTCTCGTTTTTCCTTTTATTGTTTAGCATTATGATGCATTCACTCGCTTATTTCAGTCTTGCCGCCGTTGTAGCCGCGTCCGTCACGCCTCCGGGTCTGTCGCATCGGGTTGAGGGGATCGAGGTCCCGGCCATCAAGGACATTATTCCAGCCGTTACTGTCGTGCAGGAGAATAGGACGTATGCTGTTAAGCTGGAATGTGCAGGATGTCCGTTTGTCAGCTGGGAGCGACCTCATGAGGCGGAGTGGCAGCATCCGCCTCCGGACAACTCCTTGGTAAGCGCGACGCAGCCAAGTATAGAATCGTGTACTGACGACATTGTAGATGCTCATGTTTAAACTTGACGAATCTCAGTCGGCATTACTTCTCGACGACCACCGCATCTTTCCGCTCGATCCGATGCCCCTTCACATCGGCGCCATGCAAGTACCCAATGACATGGACAAGGGCGCACTGGATGAGCAGATGGGGCGAGGCTTCAGGCCAGATGCGCCTGGTGGAATGAGATTCCCGCTTCAATACGAACACAGTGTATTCCGTGCTGAAGGACCTGGCTCCATGTGGTTGCAGTTCAACGTAACGGGTCTGGCCTTTGGAGAGGACACGGAGCCATTTCAACTGGGGCAAAATGTCATCCAAGTACTCTTGCGCGCAGAAGACGATGAAGACGACTATAAACTTTCCATCGGCGTCGTTCAGGTTGTCCAAGAAAAGAACATGGCGCAGGCACCCAGGATGGAATGTGGTAGGCTGGCCATGGTCAAGACGACTTTCGACCCCAACCAGTGGGATGAATTTGGCAAGTTTGGCACGTGGTCTAGGACCTGGAACCTCGTTATTGGCCGGCTCGGCGACTACTGGTCAGATCATCTCGAAGACAACATGATGCTGCTGCCGCTACTTGTATTGTTATCGGTTAGCATTGTCATGGCCAGTCGGTTTTACCAATCTAGGCAGCAGGATGACAGGGACTCGGACGCCGAGACGGCTCTGTTGGGCCACTATGCCCCTCCTCCGTATAGGGACATTCCGGTCATTAAGATTGAAGAGTACGATTAGTGTACAAAGGCTGGAAAGGGCTGAAGGCCTGGAGCGTAATCAAATTGGAGCGTTTCCGGAGCGTAGCCCGAATCTCCGCACGGCATGGACACAAATGCGCAAGCGGCATCTTGGCTGTATGTACAACATGGATATTACATTCGTTATTTCATTCGCTGCTCGCTTTCGTATTGTTGCTTGTCACTACACCATCTTTGTTTTTCCTGCACCTCGTCGGGCGCGCCCGGGTGAGTGCTGCACCCTTCACAGACAGGCGTGGTAGGTTTTGCCGACTACGCTGAAGAACCCCTTCAACAAATTTCCAGCCTAAAGCTCTCCAAAACTCTTACAGCCTTTCGTGATGGCTGTCGTCGTCGAGCAATACAACACGGAATGGCCGCAGCAGTTTGAGAGGATAAAGGCAGATTTGGAAGGTTATCTACAAGGCGTCGACTACCTTTCGATCGAGCACGTGGGTAGTACATCAGTACCAGGTCTAGCAGCCAAACCATTCATTGACGTCGACATCATCGTCACGCGCGACAATGTTCAATCCGTCATCGATGCACTCATTGCAAACGGAAAGCTAGATTACCTCGGTGAACTAGGCGTCGTCGACCGCCATGCCTTCAAAGACCCCAGCACCACAACCCGCCACAACATCTACGTCTGCGTCGATGGTGCCCCTCAAACCCGCAATCACCTCAGTCTCCGCAACACCCTCTGCAACAACCCCACCCTCCTCTCCGAGTATGCAACCACCAAACTCGCCCTTGCAGCCACGTCGACAAACATCGTCGACTACATTGTCGGCAAAAGCGCGATAATTCAAAAGATTCTACAAGCCTCCAATGCTTTTTCCAAAGAAGACCTCGCCGCCATCGCCCGCGCAAACACAAAAGGCGAACGCTTCGGGGCAATCAAAACCCCGCGGCTCCTCCTCCGCGAATTCGTCGTAAAAGACGAAGACGGCTACTACGCCCTCGAAGGCGACGGTGGCGATGGCGCAAATGCGAAATACCAAACTTGGTTCCCGCGCACCCGCCAACAAGCCCGACAACTCGTCCTTGAAAATATAAGAAACCACAACGACGTCCCGCGCACCATTTACGAACTCGCTGTTGAAACCACAGGCGACGACGGCGGCGGCGGTCAGTTCATCGGCCGCGTAGGCGCCCGCACATCGCAAGCAAACAGCGATAAACTCCCCGGCGAATCAACCATCAAACCCGTCACCCACGCCAACCTCTGGTTCTCCTTTTTGCCAGCGTACCAGAGCAAGGGTTACGCCACAGAAGCCATGAGCGCCTTTATCGAGGCGCTCAAGGGACGCCTGCAGGACCAGGGGAAACTGGAAATGGAGATTGAATGTGATCCGCGGAATGAGGCGGCGTGTCGGTTGGCGGACCGGCTGGGGTTTGAGCGACATAGTTTGATGAAAGAGGGCGAGTTTGTTAAAGGAGAATGGGTGGATAGTTTGAGGTTGAGGAAGGTGGTTGGGGATGTGTAAGTGAAGTTTCTTTTTCTCTGGTTTGATTGACGTGTTGGGTGTTGGGCGTCGTGGTTGAGAAACACGAATCAACTGACTGTGAAATTAGGCCCCAGGCTTCCAAGCATGTTAGGACGAGTAGTAAGGTGAGTACGTCGATGAGGTTGAGTGCCACGGAGCTTTTTGAGACGTGTCATTGATGAGGCGTCAATGCGACATCTTGATACGAGGTGTTGCAGGGCCAGGCATTTGGTTCGTGTCATTGTGTGGGTAAACATACTATCGCAAACACGACTAATGCTCTCAACTTACACTCTTCCCTAACACATTGTGCAATATCCACACAAGCATCATGCACGTCTTTCCTATTTGAAACGAACACTACTCATGCGTCACGTTGCAATCAGTCTGAACGCAACTTGAGCAAACACAACACGTACTCAGGGACCGTAGAAACGTAAGCGATGGTATATTTGATACAAGAAGATAATTTGATATATATACAAGGTACTCAATACCGCGTATTTTCTTCCACTGTACCCAGACCCAATCCCAAAAGAAGAAACACCACTCCACAACAGTCAACACCATATCTGTGTTCTCCACGCTTTTTAGTTATTTTTTGGTCACATGCTTGCAAAGGCGCCGAGGTAAGACGGCAGGCAGTAGTCTTCGTGTCGACTTGCGATGCACACCCGGTCAGGCTGTTTTAGAATCACCAAAGGCCCGTCGCGGCAGCGAGTCCGGCGTCGTCAGACTCGTCACTCGACGGTGTCGGCGTTGCATTAGCCATGTCGATAGGTGTAAACGGCGCAGAGATGCCATCTGTAGCCATTGCCGGCGCACTGTTGTTGAACTGTGTAGGCTCGGCGAAGATAGTCGATGTACGTGTGTGGGTAACCGTCATACGGATGGTGGATGTACCGTTTATGGTGTGGTTGCCATTGTTCATGCTGGGATGGTGGTGGCTGCCGTTGTGACCGCCGTGAAAGTGTGGTGAGCCTGCGCCGGTGCCCTGGGAGGGGCCGGCGTGGTTGAGGGGTGTGGCAGCTACGAGGGCGATGAATGCGGTGAAAAGAGCGGTGGTGGTGGTGAAGGTCTTCATGTTTGCTGGGTGGGTTGGGTATATAATGTGTGAAGACGGTTGAGAGGTGAAGAAAATGTGGTTGAATGGAACGGAATGGGATAAGCTTTTGTCCGAACGGGTAGATGGAAAAGACAGGAAGGTCTTGGAGTAAACAAATAGCCCAAATGAGTGTGGGTGCCGTTGACAAGGATCAAACTGAAGAGAATGTGATGGATGACGAAGAACCAAAGAGACGGTAACGAAAGGAAACAAGGTGGATATATATCTTTTCGACGACCTCAACGAACTGGATCGAGCTTGGGCGCTAGAGCCATGTGCGTTGAAGGAGTAGCTGAGACGCGGAGATGCAGGAACGCGTGTACACCTTTCCCACTGAATGATGAGCTGCTGTCTGGCCATTCCGTTCCGTTCGTTGGGATGGCCATGGCAGGTGCGCATGTGTGGGTGCTACGGCCACCGGAGGCGTTGAGCGCATGCAGAGGTCCCTACCTACGGTGCTAGCTGCAGGTACGAGTAGCTCCTGGTTCCTGGTGATCGGGACCCGGCCTGAAGGATCTTACCTAGGTAGTCGTCGATCTTTCGCTGCGGTGTGGGAAGGCTGCGTCCCTTTCGAGTCCAGAGATGAGTTACCTTGTTTCATCGTTGTTGAATGTGTTGGTGGATGCAGGTGGACGGCGTCTATGGGTTCTAGACAGTGGATGTGCAGCATAGGCTTGTTGCAGCCAATTTTGCTTGATGGCCAATGAGATCGGCTGTGCTATGAACGCCACAGCAAGAGCCAAGTCCGTAGTCTAGAAAACCGATGTTTTAGCTGAAGAAACGAGGTCATGGTTCTTCTTTTTTCTGGCGCGCCCCGAGTGTGTGTGGCTGGCTGTGCTTGCGAGCTTTAGTACTAGCGTAGTCTGATCGCAACGACCGGCCATGTACAGGAGTCTTAGACACCGATGGCTGACAGCTTGGTGGCAATGGAAACACCTAGTCAAAGCTTGCGCTGCAACTTGTCGTATGATGATGGAGATGAAATGCTGAATACTTGGACTGAGAAACATTTCCCTACCTACCTACTTTCTGCTGCAAATGAAGATGCCATTGCTGAATTTGCGCGTTCCAAGTCTTCATTTCCACAGTCCGAACTGTCTTTTGTTTTCGACCTTTGCTTTTTGCCATCCTACCAATTACCGAAGCGCGAAGATCGGCTGGTCACGGCAGACCTGCAGGTAAACCCCGCTTCTATGTCTGCGATTGTCGAGGGGTGCTGCAGGTACCCCTGGCTGGTCTATATCACGGATGAAAGCATTTGCTTTGCAGATACTGTTGGTTAAGGGTCAAGAGGTTAGTTAATGTTAGAAAAACTCGGAAGGGGCGTATATTATATAAGCATTCGATGCGTCATAGCGATATCTATACGAAGAGGTAGAGAATAGCCTTTCCTACCCTATTCAAGGTATAGAGACGCCATAATCAAGATACATGTTATAATAACAATAGATAGTAACATTACTAAGGATAAGAAAATTGTAATTACTAACAGTTTCAACTTGTATTGTTTTACTCGGCTTACTGAACGGCGAAGGAAAGCTAAGGAACAAACTATGTCAGGAAGTCAAGGTTAGAACGGCACACCCTATGAAGTCACGCATTCCCAGACTATCTGCGATACTGCGAATGTAGTGTGGCCTTTCGCAAAGCCCGTACGCAGACTATGGAGTTTTTCCAAGACGATCGTATCAATCCTATGCTCCCAGATCATGTATCAGTGCCGAATCACTTCACTCAGCACCATGAGATGCAGTTCCTCCTGTGTATCGATGTGTGTCCTGAAAATTTTCACTCAAGGAAGAGAGGGAACTAGTTTCGCAGTCGAGTATTGCAGTTGCAGGACAATAATGCAGGTTGGGTACCGCTGGTAGGGCTCACAATCGATACCACCACCAACAACCGCATGAATCCTTCTCTCCCCATTCCAGTAAAGCATATCTCACCTGATATTCAAAGTACCATTCACGACTCTAGAGATTATTTGGTTCATTGGAAAGCACGATAGACACAAGGAGAATTCCTGTCTTTTTCGGAGCAAATTTAGCAGAATTTTGGATTTATGAATAGAGATATGATATCTGATTGTGCTCTCTCGTATAGACTTCATAGGATGAAAGCTGGGGCTTCTCTTCGATCGCGAATTTGATGCTTTATCGTGATTCTTTGAATTCAAACACAGCAGTCTAGAAGAGAGGGTGATAGCCATGCGGCGATAATGAGACGGGCGATTTCGTGGACATAATAGAGTCCGTGAATTCAGAGCGCGCGGAGTTCACAGCAGTCATACTATTAGATTACGTTGTTAGTAGAAGGAGAAGGAAAAGAGAAATATAATAACACTGTTGAGAAAGAATGACTCTCTCAGTCATGGCATGTAAGTGTGTCAATTGCTAACTATACAAAGCTCGGCTAATATAGAGCGGTGTGGGTCATGTGACTTAGCGTCCTCGTGACAGGTGACCGGAATATTCTCAACAAACACTTACATTTACAAAGAAATCCCTAGCGGTCCCGGTGCTAGTGGCAGGATAGCACGGATCTTCAGGGATAGCGAGCTTGATGCTTTCCCCTGGTACGATCAACCCCCCGTGTATGTTGAAGCATGCATCTTGTGCTCTTTTGAAACCCCTCTCCTTCCAATCATTAGGGACCCTATACTGTCCCTATGTAATATTGAGCACTTTATTCTATACAGCGGTGTCTAGGTCAATATCATACCGCTGCGACACGGTTGCAATAGCCCCCTTGTGTATAGAACTCTTTGCATATAGCGCTTGCGACTCCGGCAAGCGATACCAGAAGATAGGCGTAGTGCATTGTGTCAGTGGCGGAGGTAGTGTATAGGACTTCTAGGGTAGAGCTAGATGTTCAGTGATGTAGAGGACGCAGCAAACCGAGGGCAACCAGGTCGTTTTAAGTACTCTAATATCCAGACTGCTTAAAGGCTCAACGTCGGTTGCTCTCATGTTTTGAGCAAAAAAATCTAGAACAACTTGGAAAGTATCGCGATAGCCTAGAACGGTCTAGAAAGTATCGCGATAGTCTAGAATATTCTAGAAAGTATCGCGATAGCCTAGAATATTCTAGAAAGTATCGCGATAGCCTAGAATATTCTAGAAAGTATCGCGAACTTGCGAAAGCGCTGGAGCGGATGCCAACACGAGTGACATCTGTAATCGCTTGGTAATGCACCGACCAAGTATGAACGTGCAATCTTACGGGTGCGGATATCACGAAGCCTCACGTCAGACGTCAAGAAATGCGCACATGGGGTACGTGGTTGTAAACCCCTGGTATCAATCGGCATCTGCGGAGTCTACTTGCGAGTTCAAGACAAACGCTCGGATCTCGCTGATCACTAGGGACATCAACGTCTTTCGCTCATAGGATAGGCTTTTGATGTAAGTTGCATCAAACTGTAGTATCCAGAACAGAAGTTCTCTTCGCCTCCAGGCCACGTGTGTAAGGTATTCCAGGCCAGGTAGACAATAATCTTTACTAACTACCTCCAAGAGGGCAACACTTGACCTATAGCCATAGGCAATTAGTAAGAGCTCAGTATAGAGTAGGTAGCGATTACGAACATATACGTCAAAGTATCTGCGGTCACCAACTGGGTAGCAAGGGTTTTTTGGTTTGACAATAGAGCCGCCTTGAGCAATTCCTTTACAGACGTAGCCCCACATATTACTAATAGCGTAACCATCCAGCCTAGGAGCTAGATATACTCCCTATACGATGTTAGTATCTGGCTAATATATGATAAATAAGTCGATAACTTACCGCTTCGGGACGCGCACATTTGTCCGCCTGAGAAACTCTAACGGTCGAACATTTGTCTGTGCTCGCTGCGCTTGCAATGCTAACTAGTGGTAGGAGAAGATGTACAAGATGCATGATATCGATTGCAGGGGTGATGGAAGATGGTAGAAGATGATGGTAGGCGAATGTCATCAATGAGATCTGAGCCCACATATATACTCCACTTTCGAGCCCCCTTGAACAGGTCTGCGAGTCGTTAGTTCCCTTGTCTGGGAACAGAATCCAGCCACTCCCGGTATGTGGGGCGTTTCTGGCGGCTGAGAGCAAGAATACAAGGGCAGCGTTGGTCGCAAAGTAGCACACGAGCGATCGCCTAGACGTTTCATCCGCAGTCTTCCGCAGGCTAGTTAGACTAGGTAAGCAAACTCTCGGGCGGACCTGAGTCTTGGATCGATATAGCGGCCTTCGGAATAGCACAGTACGTCGATGTACTGTGACTGTCACGTACAGGCCGAAGATATCCATCGCGACTAACTAGCCACAGTACGCACTGGAAGCAGATACTCATCGCGCAATGAGTGCAGACAGCGATGCAAGGTTCCAGGCTCCAAGCGTATGCAAGGTGGCTACATGAGAGCAGTGGGTGTTCCGGGCTGCCACTGCCTGTACGTTTCGTATATAGTGAGATGTACAGATAGATCATCGTGGTACACGTACCTATCGTGTTGGTAGTCAGCTTACCTACAGACCGTGCCCACCCTCGCTCATTTGGCCTGTCAGCTCAGCACGGTAGATGCGACGGAATAGCTTTCGCTTGTTGCCGTCATGTCGAACAATTCTTTACTTACTTAACCCTGCAAGTCATAGCACCGTTTGTGTCCTTAAAGGGTGGGAGATCGCTGCGTGGATGGAAGTAGTAACAACTGCGATGCGGAAGGAGCGCTTAACACTAAACACCGTAGGCGCTGCAGCTTAGTTATAGCCCGGAACCAATGCTAGATTTCGTATCGAGAAAGTATAAATCTCGCTTTCATCTGCGTCGATCCGCTTTCTCTTTGTGCCTTCGTACCTACCAGATTCCCTGTCCAGGCATCAGCAACCCGAGTTCTCCTACCATTCCCTTGTATTCGCACGAAAGCTCCTTTTCCCTGCATAGTCGACCTGAATAAGACTTGCGAGCCACCTCAACTAGACCCAACGACTACTGATTCCAAGAAGACATGCGTTTGATAACTCTTACCGTTCTTGCGTACTACGCATCCTTTGTAACTCCATTGGCACCCGGTTGTTCAATCCAATCGGATGATTGTAACGCAAAACCTCCCGATACACCCACTTGCTTTTTGTGGTGCACGGGTGACAGGAGTCTTCACGAAGGCCGCTGTGCACGGTATGTTAAATTTGCTATACCTATGCATACCTTTCTGACTTGGATGTCAGCAACAATGCAAAAATGGGCCCAGGAAGGCATTGTGTCTAAGTCGCCTTGCCCAAGCATACCGGATCTCATGAGGCACCGTTGAAAGCTTTTACGGTTGCCCTCTTACCAGGCATCGGAGTCTACGCATGCCATCAAGGTAAAGGTGTCCTGCACTTGTATTCCTTGCAAGAATTTGTTTTTGGTAGATACTACGAAAGTAAAACATGCTATTCCAAGGGCCGATGAACAACGTAGGTTGTAGTGCCTAGACGAGGAAATAGTAGCATTCCATCTACAATCAAGACATGTATTAAAAAATAGCAGAGTTCCTGATAAAGGGGACTTCACGTTTTAGAATCGACATTACAAAATACCCCAATTTATTAAACTGAAGAATCATCGATTACAATATTGCCAGGATAGCTTCACCGAGCTTTTCCACTAGTTATAGCTAGACATAACAGGCTGCCTTTAATAAAATCAGGTTAGTTAAATATCGGAGACATATAGATTGCAGCTCCTTACCTGTACTTTAAAGAATTGAACACCATCCTTGCCGCTAACACATGGATTCTCTGGGTGGTCCATCATAGCCTCTTCTGGCCTGGGTGAGCTGCCAAGAGGGCATGCTTTGATGAGTCTATCCTTGATATCGTCTTGCCAGGTATGAGGAATTCTCCACTTTGGCTATGTAATTATTAATACTTCATTGTTGATTTCAATGTTAACGTTGTTAACTTACTCCTGTTTTAATGCCTCCTACTTGCACGCATCTGCCTCCATAGATTCGAATGAAATGGAAGTCGCCTCTTTTCGAATTCTTTGCGCTCGCGATACCACAAAGTAGTAAAAGGATATAGCTGTAATGCATCGTGTTGGTGGCGGGGGTAGTGGGACTTGTAGAGGTAGGAAAAGGTCTCGCGCGATGGTAGCGGATGAATTGGATTATGTCGGAGTGTTGTAGAGGTACGATACTCATCCTGGCCTGTCGTAGGCCTCTGCGCCTAGTATATTATCAGCTCACCTACAAGGTTTTCGCTCACGCTCTTCGTACAGAGGAACTTTATTTAAATTGTCGGTGCTCGTGTATTCCGTCTGTGAGTTGAGGGGGACCCGTAGTTACTGTAGATGCCGTTGAGTTGTGTTCGTTTCGGCTCCGTGACGATGTCATCATGCCGAACACCATCGCTCCTGCTCTTCGTACATAGGAACCTTATGTACCGTGTCAGTGCTTGCGCATTCCGTCTGTGGGATCAGGCGCAACGGCAGTTAGATGCCACGAACTGGTGTTCATTTTGGCTCCGTGACGATGCCATTATGCCGAACACCACCTTGCTGCACCCCATGATGAGAGATGTGGTACAATCTCTTTTCGAGTAAAGTATGAAACTGCCTTGAGTATCATAGAATATTACATGTAAAAATCAATATTTGTTTGGCCTTCGGCCAGCCCAAACGGCTCCATGGGTTGCTTGAAAAAGAGGGAAATAGGTAGGATAAGATAGTAGAGTGTCATTCAAATACAATACTATCTATAGCTTATCAACATGAATGCTAGCACCGCGAGCCGCACTACTCTTGGACCCGCGACGCGAAAGTTGTTCGATATCGTCCTTTTTCGCAGTCGCCGCCGTATGGTAAGTAAGCTCATCCCTCAAGGCAGCAAAGTTCTTCTCCGCCTCCCAATTCCAGATGCTGTCAGACGCGAACAGCAAGTCAATCTCCTCGAGCGTACGCTGGTTCGTTTCCGGGTAGAGCGCCCATACCATGGGAATGGTAATGGCGTTGCAAGCAGCAAATATGTATAACGTCTTTTCACCTAGGGCCTCGAACATGATTGGGCATAGGAGCGTGAGCCAACCGTTACCAATGGACCAACCCACGACACCCCAAGCATTTCCCTTCGCGCGCACCTCCAGCGGGAAGATTTCTGCTGGATAAAGCCAGGGGACGGTAAGCCATGTAGCGCCAAAGACTGCCGTAAAGATGAATACCATGGACACAGCTGCGTTTCCGTATGAAGATGCTTTGCTCAGGTCGCCGTCCTTGGTGGCTTGCTGGCCGAGATACGAGAATCCACCTGCGAGAGCCATTGCGATGCCCTGTCCAACGGAACCCCAATAACAAGTCCAGCGACGGCCGATACGGTCAAGAGTGAAGACGCAGATGAGTGTTGCAAACATGTAGAAGATGTTGTTGAGACCGGAGATCCATTGGCGCTTGGACGGGCTCATGCCTGCGATGCCAAAGATGGTCGGCGCATAGATGGTGACACCAGCGATACCAATCCATTCCTGCATGATCTGGAGCCAGATGACAAGCTGCACGCGGCGACCGGTGTGTAGCTTGCCAGAGCCGATACCAAACAGCATATGGAAGTAGCTCTGCTTCCTGAAGTTTGAGCGTTCAAGCTCGCAGGAAGCTACGATTTCTTGGAATTCAGTCTCGGCTCTTTCCTTGTCTTCACCCGAGTCGCCTCGGAGGCGCGCTAGGACGTAGCGCCCTTCAGCCTCACGACCCATCTTGATGAGCCAACGCGGCGACTCTGGGAAGAACATAACGCCTGCCATGAGAATCAAGAGCATTGGGATTTGGAACGCGATGGGGAAGCGCCAGATGAAGGAAGAGGTGCCGTCGCCGTAGAAGGAGCATGCGTATTCCAGCCAGTACGCAATCACCACACCAAAGATGTTGAGGGTAAACTCGATTGCGATGAATTGACCTCGCGAGGTATGCTCCGCAGTCTCCGTCGCCCAAACGGGAATAATGGAGTTCAGGATACCAGTACCCCAACCATTGACCAGACGTGCGCAAATCATCCATTCGTGGTTCATCGCTGAGCACTGTAGGGCTGCACCGACCGTCGCGACAGCTGCTCCGAGGAAAATAGTCTTGATGCGTCCAAAGCGGTCACCAACCGAGCCACCCACCAGACACCCTACGAGTGTTCCAAGGTAGTAGACGGACACGATGCCTCCCTGCAGTAAAGTATCGTCAACCACGGGGCCGCCATCAGGACCTCTGTGGCCGAAGCCCATGAGGGTGTAGTAGTCATATGCCGTGTTGACACCACCCATCATACCCTGGTCGTAACCGAAGAATAGGATCGATAGACCGGCGATGCAGTTGATTCTGTTACACCATCAGCATAGGGAAATGGGATTATAGAGGGAAAACATCTTACGCAATGAGCAAGCTGCGCTTCTCAAGTCGATGAACGACATTGAGCTTGTGTATCTGATCCATGGCCGAGGATGACTACGTCCGACGCAGAACCGGCAGAAAACGGTACAGCAATAACGATGAAAACAACCCCAAAGACCATGGGCGGGCCCAGCTATCTTATACCACGACCTCAAGACGCTTCGGTTGAATATTCCACGATGATATCGTTGCACATACGCCCACTTTTCTCCTCCGACCTGTGGAGCACTCCGCTCGTGGGGCCCCAGAGTCAGTCCCCCTCTTCTGACTGGACACAGCCGTTGCCTCCGCATGCTACCATGACAGCGTAACCTCCCCAAAACGGCTCATGGTGGTCGAAACCTTGCTTCGGTGGTGGAGAAATTTGCGCCGGGGCATCGGGGTACTGAAAACGGTAAGCCGCCCGCTTAGGTAGTTATGCGCGAGGCTGCAAGCCCGTTGCGGTTGCAATTGTGAAGCTTGGCTAATGTGAAGCTTTGCGCCAGGGCGAACCGTTTGGGCTTGACACTGTCGAAGCCTTTCGGCCGCCGACTTGCGCACGTATTGGAAACGCGATGTTTGGGAAGATGGTAGGTCGGTTGCAGCAATAGAAAGTGTGGGAATGTTGGGTAAACATGACTGCTGGGCATCGTTCGGAGGACAGTACTCCGTCAGGTATGGAGCTATGAAGATCGGTATCAAGTTGGTACTGGCGGATCCATGTCACCGAGACGAGGCAAAGACACCTGACAAGCACGTTTTAGCCAAATCTTCTAGAATTGATCGTGAATGCTAGAGATCGGGTGCAATCGTCTCAACGCTACGGGAGTATACGTTTTGGTATCGGTCTGTTGACTAGTGCGCCAGGACCAGAACCAGAATAACAAGCAAAGACCGACGTCACATACTCCCCATCTCCGACATCCATATTCTCAGCGCACTACACCCACACTCTCCATCTCCATCTCCATCTCCCCTCCCCTCTCCATCCATCCACCCAGCCCCCTACACCCACCCTCACACCCCCCTCCCTTCCCGATGAACCCTCTCACAAAACCCCTTCAAATCCTCACACCAAAGCCTCGTCTTCTCCACCAACGTACCCCCAACCGCCAACTTAACAACCCTCGCCATAACACCCCCCATAATCTCCCAACTCCTAACCTCGCACTCCTCCTCTCCCTTTACAATAACCTCCTGCACCCGCTCCAACCTCATTACGCCCCAAGAGTCCATGCCGCCGTGGCCCGTCCAGCTGACGCGGTACACTTTACTCGCGTCGGCGGTGAATGAGGGGTCGGCGAGCAGCGCGGGTGGGAGGTAGTCGCTGGGTGCGGAGGGCGTGCTGATGTCTACGACTTTGAGCGAAGTTTCTGTGATGCTAGTCGGCTTGGACGCGTTCATGATGACGTTGAAGACCATGGTGGTGCCAATGTGCATGCGACTGGAGTCAGAGGCGTCGACTGAGTCGGGTTGTGTGAGGATGCGGCCAGAGGGGATCCAGGTGTTCCATTTGGGGTAGTCGGCGAGGTTGAGAATGGTGTCGAAGACGAGTTGGGCTGGTGCGTGGATGGTGGTTGAGTAGGGTAGTTGGAGGATGGCATTCTCGCGTGGGACGATCTTGGTCGTGAGACCTTGGGCGGGAGGCCACGCTTCGGTGTCAGACATATTTGAATTTGTGTGATGTATGCGTTTGCAGGTTTTCCAACAGGTGGTCGCGATAGGAATAGCGATGTTTTCGTGCTGATTATGGTGGCTGATGCCTGGTGCTTGACTACGCCGCATGGGATCCCTTGCACAAGCACTCAAGCTTTATCGATAGGCAGGATAGCCCCGGTATTTCCTAAACAAGACTAGACCCCGGCGATTAGAACCGGCAGAGTACCTCGTGCATCACGATAAATGTTGCAGCAATGCAATAGATGACAGCATTTGTAAGTCGGTATAGGACTTGTGTGCAGAGACACAAGCATTAGCTATTATATTTACTAGCCTTCACTATGTGAGCGATTCTTCCCTTATTTGCCTTCATATCGGCATTCGAGTACATATGGAGAGATAGCATTACCATCCAAAGCATGCACTTTTGATCCTGTAGAATACCAAGTTGGTCCTCCGCCTAGTCCACTGAATTCGATAGGTCCGGCATATCTTCATCAGTATCGTCATCCTCACTCGAATGGCGCCTTGAAAAGAGATCTTTCACGTTATGTCGAACTTGCCGGGTTTGACAGAAGACATACGTCTCGATTCCTTCTTCCGACAAGTCCGACCAAGTCGTGTCCTGCGTCTCATCTTCAAAAACTTGTGCAGGCATGCCTACCCCTTCACTGCAGGTCAATGTAAGCTCCCGAAGATTCGGTAGTATCTCCTCGTCTTCACTTCGTAGACACTTGGCCCACTCTTCTATGAGTGGAGTAGGGTATATGATTTCCAGCGTCTCCAGGTTTTGTGGTAGTTCGTCGGGCATACAAGAATTATCTGCCCAGTCGTCGTCGTTGTTGAAATCGCAAATGAAAGCCTGTAGCACGACGAGATGTTTTAGAGCAGTAAAGTGCCTCATAGACAACTTCGGACTGATCATGTTGTCAACACTGAATTCGAGGGCAACATCGTCGTCCGCCGTCTCGAGCATAATGGTGAGGCTTTCCAGACTGTGTTTAACGCTGTCGATCTGATCCACGAAGTATCCCACGTCAAGCCCTAAACCTGGGTCCAGAGCATGGAGGCCTTCGTGATAGCCATCGTTGACACTAGGTCGATGATAGTTAGCAGTAGTTCAACGTCTACTTGGTGTATAGACTAACAGAACTAGTTTGAGACTTCGGAGGTGGTTGCAGCTCAGCGCCTCGAAAAGGCTACTGAGCTCGATCTCTGTTGTATCCATCAAGATGCGATCCGCAAACCCCATTGAGACGCTCATAGCTAGATCTTCAAGGTTCTCGGCTCCATGGAGACATCCTGGACCGTTCAGACGCAGCACGGTGCCAATGGATACTGTCTTTAGGTCAAGGCTCTTGAGATTGTCGAGCTGAACATTACACTTCAACACATGCGTATCGCTCGTTGTGAGATGTTGTAGATTAGCCCATGTCTTGACGATGATATCTGGAAGGCCCAGACCCCCAAAGAGCCCAGAGACACACTCGCCTGACGGTGGGCCGCGATGATGATCTTTTACCCAGAAATCGAGGTGAGTGAGGGTTGGAACCAGTGTCATCAACACTCCAGCGAAGCCTGATTCAATGGAGTTTTGGACAGTGCGGTACCACGGATGCGACTTTGTGTAACCCAGCTCTCCCAGTCTCGCCAGACTTCGCGTGCGCAAAGGCTCAAGGTCAAAGCCCTGGTCGTCACATAGCTTAGCAATGTTCTTGCGAACCGTTCTCATGCGAAGAGTCTTGACTTTTAAGGCTAGGTCCGGACGGTCCAACAGTGTACGGAGTAGCTTTAGCACCGCGTTGACCTTGGGGTGGCAACCACAGGAAACGATCAATTTCACTGTGCCGTGCAAGGTTTCCTGGGCGGCTGGACGGAGTTTGCGCGATACGAGAGAGAGGTTCCTCAGGTGTGTGGGGGCAGTTGAATCAGGCAGGTAAGAGGCGACATGTATTAACAGTTCGTCTGGCAGCTGGTAGATGGGCGGATTGGACGACGCCATCATGTCGCAACTCCAAGGCGAGGCTGGAGGGGTCACGTTGAGTGCAATGGTGGTGGCTAATGTCTCAGTCCTGACTTGTGGGCTGCAGCCCCGCGTGTTCGACGTCTGTCGTGGTGGTTGCCTGGCAACTCTTGGTATGAATGGTGGGACGATTTCGGCTGATGACGTAATCTCACTCCCGCAATGGAAGCCGTGCCGATAGCTCATGCAGGTGCGGAAAGAACAGCGGGAAGAACGTACTACGTTGCGCAATTTCTGCATGCATCTCTCTAATTGTCTCTATAATGATCATGTCCTCCTTTGCCTCATCCACATCTTAAGCAGGAACACCAAACTAGTCACGACACCAATGCCGCTCAACCCTACGCTGACATACAACGCCCCACGATACCCAGCCAGCTCATCTTCTACCCTTGTCCCACCATTATTCACATGCGCCTCCACTGTACCCGCAATACCTACACCAATGCTGATACTGTAGTTCACCACTGTATTCACCAGACTGGCGGCCATGCCCTGGTGCCTCTTTGCCACAGCGTTGCTCATGATCAGCGTAGCAGCCGGGAAGCTCATATCCATGCCCCAAGGAATGACCAAGGTTGTCACAAAAGCCTGCGCCCAGTAGATTTGCTGTATGGGCATGGTAGCAACGAGTATGTTACCTGTCAAGAAGGCAAGCATACTGATGAGCATGACCCAGCCCGGACCGATGCGCGAGATGACATGGCCGGTAGTGATGGCGGCGATGAATCCCGATATCGCCACAGGACATGTGTGCGCTATGGTGAGAAGTGGCGATTCGCCTCGCAGTCGTTGCAAAAACTGGAAGTAGTAGTAAACCCAAATGCCTTTGTTACATTAGCGAGAAACAACCATGTTCAAGTCGGTATCACTTACCAAAAGCAGCCCAGCCACACATGATGCATGTCAGCACAAACGAGACGTCCGTACTGAGTGCATCGAGCGGAATTAGTGGTTTCTCAGACACCTTGATCTCAATCCAGAAGAAGACAGGAAAGAGAAGGATGCCCACAATCAACATTGCGTAGATATACGGCTGCTCCCATCCGAAGCCCGGAGCTTGGTTCCACGCAAAGTTGAAGAGAATCATGGCCGTGATGCCGACTGTTGCACCAAGCAAATCCAGCTCTCGAATCCGCTCCTTGTACGAAAGACTGCGTATCTCCGGATCCAAAGGCACTGATGGGAGGATAAACATGGATAGAATGGCGATTGCGAAGAGGGCGACTCCAAAAGCCCAGAATGACCACGGCCACCACAAAAGCGACCATAGACCTGCAAATGCTCCGCCTATTATCGCACCACCTGGGTAGGATTAGTCGACTGCCATATACACCAACAAAAACGAATTTACCAGGTGCACACGCTCCAAACAGTGAAAAAACCATATCCTTCTTCCCCCCTTCATTGTACGTCGCGCCCAGCAAACCAAGCGCATTAGGTAGCAGAATCGCTGGCCCAATACCCCCCATGACTCTAGAAAAGATAAACAGAACCTGTCCACCATTTCCCTCGAGATACACACTACAGCCCGCCACCACATTCCAGATGGCGAACCAAACGTATCCCACGACGATCATGTTCTTGTAACCGAAGACATCCCCGCATCGACCAGACAGCAGGATAAACGTACCAACCGTCAGCGAATACCCTGCTATCAACCATGCGAGAACGCCCGGGTCAGTGATGCCAAGATCGGACCCGATTATGTGGAGGATGGTCAAGACGCTACAAAGGCCTATTTGTGTGACCATTTGCGCCGAACACAGTAGTCCTACGAAGAGAAACTCGCGCATGGGGGACATGGTTTCCGCTATGGATTTCGTCTTTGCGAGCTCAAGATCATCTTGCTGCTTTTCATGATGCGTGGAATGCTGGCGGTCCATATTGCCGTCAAGTATGTCTTGATCGGAATCGCGCTCTGGTGAAGAAGAGTCCGTTGACTGCCTGTCGAGCTTTGGCTCATGGGAGCCCGGTGGATTTTCCATGGTCGGGGTTGCCTGTCGTTATGATAGTCGCGGGGGAGGAGGTTTTTTTACTTAAAGAAAAAGTACCAGATTCACAGGATACAAAATCTGCAGCATGCACCGTCGTCTAGGGTAGATATTCTTTTTCGCTTTCAAGAAAGTATCGCTCCGAGGTTGTGCCGTTGATAGATGAGTAACGCCACTACTCAACTTTCGATGCGCGTCCGGAAACAGATGGTACAAGGAAGAGCAGCACCTTACGATGAGAGACAGCCGAACACAGCGTCAGCCTGACGTGAATAGTAGTTTGAAGATACATAGCAGCAGCATATTTTCTTTCATGCATCCCATCATCGCCAGTCTAAAGGAATCAGGATGAACAATCTTCAGCACCATGTTACGTGAGCGCGGAATTGCCCTACAGCTACGTCAGAGCAAAGACGAAAAGCGGGTCTGCCGAATCTCGGCAGATTATTAACGCGAACCCTGCCAACGCCTTGCGTCTGATAACGGGCCAGACCGGCTGGGCACCGTTTTTCTGGCGATTTTGCCTGTCGATTGGAAATACGTATTGCGACTAGAGTATGTAGGACTAAGGATTATCTGTTTACATACATCTTAGTAAGTGATTTATACACAAGCGGAAAGCTCTATAAGCGGCTCTCCGTCCACCCCGGAGCTAGGCTGCTCCCGCAGCGGAAGAGTGAGACGGGTACGGTACGATACCAAGAGCAAACTCTGTAACAACCACGCTGAACAGTTACAAACAAGCCCAATGCAGAAAACGACACTTCTCCGAAACCACGCACACCCATCTCAAACCTCTTATCCGCCCAACATTCGCAGCGCCTAACCTCTCCACCTACCTACCTACTCCACCTTCCTCCCACACTCATAAACCTGCACCCCAAACCCCCTCTTCACAACCCACGCATGCCCGCCCACCCAACCTGGTCCCCCCCTCCAAACCGGCAGCACATCACCCCTCCCCCTCCTCCTCTCCGCAACAGCAGTCTCCCAACCCCCTTGTTGAAACCTCTCTACATCCTCTCTTCTCATAACATTTGTCCTTGAATTCGCGGCCATGGTCCAAAAACCTATTATATGCCCTTGATTGATTTTGTGGTTTATCCAGCCCTTCGCACCCCCAACCCCCTTGCCCCCTTCCTCCCCGGACTGTTCCAACAGCCCCAGCAGCTCCGAGCACGTCCACCCCGTTTTCCCGCTCGCCAGCACGGCCGAACTGAGCTGTGTACGGTGGAGGGAAGGCGGTATCTCGTCGATGTATATGCGTGACCAGAAGAATGGGTAAGGTGCGTACAGGATGCGGAGGGAGAGGCTGAGGAGGATGGCGAGGGGGAGGTTGAGGCCGAGGTTCAGGCTGGCGAGGAGGGCGGAGGTGAGGGTTAGACGCGGTCGGGGGGCTGAGGTGGAGAAGAAAAGGAGATGGGTTTGGAAGGGTGTGAGTGTGGTTTGGGGTTTAGACATTTTGGGTTGTGGGAGGGAGAGAGAAGCGGTGGGTGGAGGGTGGAGGGGGGAGGTAAGTAAGGCGAGGGGAGAGTGTTTTCGTTTCACGGTTCACGTATGCGAAGAAGCAATTACTAGTGGATGGGGTAAGTCATGACGTCACAGGTACACATTTCCATCCGAGCATAAGCCGTTTTATTGAACTCCGTGTCGATGAGGAGGGTAGGGGCGGATAAAGAGAAGTGTGGGTGATGGAGATGTTGCAAGTGGTTATAGCATATGAGCTGAACTCTTAGTGTCAATCCTACCGAAGATGGAAAGTAGTGCCAAGATATCAAAAGTATGTGGGAAAGCAACGCGAGTCTCTACCGCAAGCTGTACAAGTGCGATCATTGGTGTTTTATTGATTAGAGGCGGGTAGGTAAGTTATACTATCTCTATCTAGAACAATCACATAGTATCTTGATACCCACGTCAAGCCCCACTAACTACCCCTCTACCAACCCTACCCCAAACCCCCGTCTTAATAACCCCCATTATCCCCCAGCTCCGGAAACAAATACGTAGTATTAGCATCCACAACAATCCAATTTCTCACCAGTGCCGACCCATTAACGACAGATTCATACTGCTCCTCAGTACAAGTATCAGGATCAAGCACATAACACTGCGCGCCCTCATCAACAATAGGCTCGTTTGTAATATTTGCCACACTACTCGGCCCATCAGTAGCGTACGCAGGATTCACGGCTGTGGAAACGTTGCCAGTGGCGATGTCGCGATTAAACAGCGCGCGAGTAAAAATCTTATACGCAGTCTCGGGTTGGTACGCAGGAACCTCATGACCAGCTTCATACACGCGGGTAAAAGATAAATTACCATATTGACGCACCTGGCCGCCAATGTAAGTCTCGTTTACGATGACGGGGGCGTATCCCGCGGCGGCGAAGGCGGTCGTGTTATCGTAAGGGATGGCGAGGGAGAGGAGTTCACCGCCGTACCAGTTACAAGCGTAGTCTCTGTCGCCGTAGACGAGCGTTACTTTAATTCCGGATTCTAATAAGTAGCCTAAATCTTCTTTCCAGCCGGGGCGGGGGTAGTCGCCGATGGCGCGGAAGGCGGTTGAGACGGCGGAATTGGATTGCGTCCAGTTGAGGGGGACGCCGAGGGCTTGTTGGACGTGAGGTTGGCTTAGGAAACCTTGGTAGTATGGGCGCGGGAAGGATGCTGTGCCGGGCGCGGAGATGTCGTAGTAGTTTACGTCTGTGTCGAAGTAGGGGTCGCGGATTGTTGTGGAACAAAATGTTTCGGCTGCTTGGCATACTTTGTTGACTGTGGTGTTGAAACCTTGGTTGGTGGGGTCGTATATGAGACTCAGGTTACGGCAGTTTTCGATTTGCGAAAGGCAGCCGCTGGGGCGGTAGAGGTTGTTGAGTGCTTCCTCGTAACGAGACTCATTGATGGCCTTGATACCATATGTGTTGTTGTACGCCATCATGGGGTAGCCTGGCCATTGAACGTAGCGGTCGATACAGCCATTGATGATGAGCAGTGTATCAAGATGAAGAATATGGGTCTGTCCAACTTCAGTCCAAGTTCCGTTCTTGATCTTGTCGTTCTGTTCCTGGAAGTAGGCAGCAAAAGCAGGTCCGTAGCGTCCTCCGTACGACTCGGTTGAAATAGAGATCCTGTCATCGTTGGGCTTATGTTCGGGAAACTCTTGGAACCAGACCTGGGCAAAGTTCCACAGCGCTCGTGCAGAGTTCTCTGTGCCGCGAGTGGTGAGATTGGAGTTTTGGCTAGGGTACGTGCCGACATAAAAGGTGTTATTCTGTTCCGGGACGGATCCGTTTGTGAAGTCTACAACTTTCACTTGTCCGGTAGAGAGGTCACTGGTGATGTTGACCAATTTGTCGTAGCTCAGTCCAACCTGCACCGGCTGATCAAGATATAGCATGTTGACTGTGTTTGTCAGAACAAGTCGCGAAGCTTGGGATATGAGTATGCATACCCTCATTATTCCACGACCACTCATTGAGATAGGTGCTGTTGGAGTCGGAACCGACATGGCAAGGCCCGTTTTCGCGTAGAAGCCCGAGCATGGAACTGGAACCAGGCCCACCTCGTCTCATGTCAGCGTCGAGCATCGAAGCCTTGAATGAGCAGCTTACCATTCATCCATATTGACAGGGGTGCGTTTGCAGGATCTTTTCTTGACTCGAAAAACCAAAAGTGCGTGTTGATCTCATATGTCTGGTTTTGGACGCCGAGGTCTGCGAGCGCTCCAGCAGGAAGATGAACATAGCCGGAGAAACTGCGAACACCTTCTGTAGTTTCGCAGAGGTTGGTCTGTTGACGGGTGAGTTTGGGAAACAATCGTGTCCAGGAAAGCTAGCATACCTCTTTGTACGAAACCCTCACGCCCTCTTCCAGCTTCGACTCTAGAACGGTCACATCCTCTGGTTTCGGAGGGAATTGGGCATTGACAAGGCCGCTCAAAAGACCGACTGTTCCCAGCAACGAAAGCCTGGCTAGGACCATGGTGACGAGACGATGAAAGCAGCTGCGCAGTTTGCGGGAGGTCCCTGGAACTGTACATCGTGTCAAAGTAGCGGACGCTCTCTTTAAACTACGAGGCATGGAACCGTGGTGCTCTCACCGGGCGCGGGGACATGATTGGATCTACAGACATTGAGAGCCTGAGCTTCCTTGTTGAGCTAAGCGTACATGTCTACCCGCGCAAACCCACTGTCGGTGACGATGTAGTGCTTTGTAGCGAGGTGCTTACGGGTGGAGAAGATGCATAGCCAAGGCTGCCAAGGAGGCTTTTCGTCATCTAGATACCTGAATTACATGGGGTTTTGCATGATGGTTTACCAGTTGAGTGAAATACGAGCATTGTACCTGGAGGCGGATATGGAAGGTGTGAGGTTGCCGATGATAAGATAAGGACATATTCCGAGGTCCCGTCTGAACTGTACTCGGTTCAACATATAGCTCTAACCGCGCGGGTCATTGTGCGTCATCACCGTCGGACCAAAGATGGGCTAATTTTGCACAGGACACGACCGCATGTGTGCATCGATAGTTGGATTGGAACCTTTGAATATTTCAGCATCGGCATCTAACACGGCCTCGTGTGCGATTTGCTCCAACTCCAGACTCAACAACCTCGCACTGAACAGAGTCATGCAGATCAAAAACAATAAAACCAAAAAATAACAGGTAGCAGATATGTCTGCCAACAAATTCAAGCGCCCTGAAACGCCAATCACGTCTACTCGTCCACCCAAAGACGATATGAAGACTTGCATCCAAAGCGGACCAGCAAAGCAAATACACGTAGCCTCCTCGTTCAACAGCGAGTCCAATGGAAGTAAAGAATGGGTATCTGCCAACACGCGAAACCTGCCTCGATCAAACCGGCGCACCCCATGCTGCGCGCAGGCGACGCGCGAGCTGTATGTCCTTTTGTTGGATAGTGACGCGCTTGGCGTGAATGGCACAGAGATTTGCATCGTGGAAAAGGTTGACAAGGAAAGCTTCGGTGGCTTCTTGGAGTGCCATGATGGCCTGACTTTGCCATCGATTGGGACCGTCTTCGGTTGTGACGGATTGGGCGATTTCACGCACCTATCCGAGGGTCAGCATGGAGTTATGGTGGTGGAGCCTAATGCGACAATGGCGGTGCTTACGAGTCGCTGAAATGGTAGTTTGAGAAGGAGCAGATCTGTCGTCTTCTGGTATCGTTTGATTTCACGGAGCGCGACTGTACCGGGCTTGTACCGCTTCTTCGCGCGGTCTGGAGCAGGGCCTGGCTGTCCAACTGTCATGTGTCAGTCAAGCTGCAAGACGGGTTCCAATTTCAACTCAACCACGTACGTCGCTTCCCGGATTCCTTTCTGCTTCCGACGCTCACTCTTCCACCCCGCGATGGACGCGCCTTATTGCGCCTCGCTGGCGATTTTGGTGCCATTACAATTCTGGTTTGTGGAGATGGCGCAATGCGTAGAGTTGATCAAACAAATCAAGTGAGACAAACAGGCGCGAAGAAGCGCGACGCGTGTATTGCGCGTGGAGTGGCTCGACTTGGGCGCGTCAAACAACCAAGTAAATTATGAATAGGTTCAAGCGGATGCGGTGGATTTCAGGGATAGGCGATGATGATGATGATGATGATGAGGAGCGGGGTGCTAGAGTCGGATAAGGCACGGGCGCATTCTTAGCCTCGAGTATTGCTGTTCTATCTTTTGCGCTCGAGGGGTTGGGAATGAATGTGGCTGGTCGCAAAGGGCAGGAGCTTGGACCTTGTCTTTCACGCTGGCGGGAAGGGCGACCCACGAACCGCAAACTGATTAGATTAGACTAGCGCCTTGGCGCTACATCGGACAAGTTACGTAGCCAGTAGCCACATGGCAACGCTCACTGTCCGCCGGCGTCACTACGCTTGCTGAGCCGACACCTGTCCCCTTGGCTGAATATACTGAGGTTCAACATTGATTGACTACATGTTCGCCTTGACACCCTAATCCAACCGACTCTGTTATAGCATCAACCTATATCCGTCCCGGCGCACACCGGCAGCGCATCAACATGGCAAACGTACTTCAAGGCGGGGATGGCATGATGGGAGGGGTTGGCGGCTTTCCACTCGAGCAGTGGTTCTACGAGATGCCCATCTGTACTCGGTGGTGGATGACGGCGGCGTTGAGTGCTAGTGTGTTGGTGCAATGTCACATCATTTCACCCTTCCAGCTGTTCTACAGCGTTCGGACAGTCTTCTTCAAGAGCCAGGTATGTACAGTCGATGTAGTCATGGATGGACTGGCGGCTGACTCAGGGTAGTACTGGCGATTACTCACAACCTTCTTCTACTTCGGTCCCCTCAGTCTCGACCTTCTCTACCACATATTCTTCCTCCAGCGCTATGCGCGACTCCTCGAGGAGTCGTCTGGTCGCTCCACAGCACACTTTGCCTGGCTCCTCACATTCGCCTCCACGCTCCTCCTCTGCATCGCACCCATGTTTTCCATGGCTTTCCTCGGCTCGGCCCTATCAAGCACCCTCATCTACATCTGGAGCAGAAAGAACCCGGATACCATGCTCAGCTTCCTAGGCTTGCTCGTCTTCAAGGCGCCGTACCTTCCTTGGGTGCTGTTGGCATTTTCGCTCATCATGCATGGCACCGTGCCCAAAGATGAGATGTGCGGCATCGTCGTTGGCCACAGTAAGACCCCGCAGTTCCCGCTCTTTTTAACTCGTACTAATACCGGCAGTTTGGTACTACTTCAACGACATCTACCCGCCGCTGCACAACAACCACAGCCCTCTCGACCCTCCCGCCTGGTGGATTCGCCTGATTCAAGGACGTCCAGCTCCTGTGGAAGAGCAAACAGAGGACGAGGTACCTATGGATGTCGACCACAATGACCCGGTCGAGACTGCGCCTGCTCAGTGAACCGAATAAAGGACAAGTGCATTTACATCTGGAGTTTGGCGACTCATTATTTGTGATACCCTAGCTGTCTATGGATTATTGTCAGCCTGCATTAGCCAGTCATCTATTGCACTAGACAATTGCAAAATTCTTCTTCAACCAGCATCCTCTTCTGATTGTCATCTCCGGTCTATGGTATCGTTCAGGTCCAATCAATGCCACAGCGTGCTCTATACCTGGGGCTGAAGCCACAGATTGCCGCCAAGCACCTACCTTTCTGGGTCTAGCACCTTCCTATTTGGGCTAATATCTCCGCGACCTGTACAAGATCGTAACCAAGCATCGTGGCGAGGACGGACATGCCCGGGTTTTACGAAATAATTGGTTCATCACATCATGGTAGCTAGGCACTGTAATGCTTATAAGCTGACATGCTCTTGGATCCAGCCCTGCCTACCTACAATCTCTGCCAGTACCATAACAAGCAATCTTCTGGAGAGTTCCAAAATATCAAGATGGCTGTTTCCAAGTCTCTCCTTACACTACTTGCAGCCGCCCCATATGCCTCCGCTTGGGGCTCGCTGGGCCATACAGCAGTCGCCTACATGGCACAAAACTTTGTCTCGAACAAGACTGCCAAATTCGCTCAAGACCTCTTGGGCGACAGTTCGTCTGCGTATCTAGCCAACGTTGCCACGTGGGCTGATAGCTACCGCAGTGAGAAGGGAGGCCAATTCTCCGCCGTCTACCACTATCTTGATGCGCTGGACAATCCACCGGAAAGCTGCAACGTGGACTTTGATCGGGATTGTCCAGAAGAAGGCTGCATTGTATCCGCCCTTGCCAACTACTCTAGCCGCGCCTTTCAAAGCTCAGTCGGGTCCACCGAGCAGCAAAAAGCCCTAAAGTGGATCATTCACTTTGTCGGCGACATGCACCAACCGCTACACGTCGAGAATCTTGCGGTGGGGGGCAACCTTATCAACGTCACCTTCAACGGCGTCTCAACAAACCTTCATTCCATCTGGGATACAGCTATTCCACAAAAGGCGTATGGGGCCTTCTCACAGGCCACTGCACTCGCATTGTCGAACAACCTTACGGCGGAGGTCAAGAAGGGAAAGTTCATGGCGGAGAGCAAGCAGTGGCTGGCAGGTTTGAAGGCGACTGATGCTATCAACAGCTCCATGACATGGGCGCGGGACACCAACGCTTTCGTCTGCAGCACCGTCATTCCCAATGGTCCCGATGCCGTCTTCGCTCAAGAACTGTCAGGGGCGTACTATAATTCCGTGATTCCCGTCGTCACCAAGCAGCTTGCCAAAGCTGGATACAGGCTTGCGGCTTGGTTGGATGCACTCGTTGAATTGAATGAAAAGGGGGCTCTCAGCCAGCGAGCGTGGGAGCGGAAGCCAAGGCGGGAGATTAAGTTGCAGCCCTGGCAGGAGCAGGCAAAGCAGGCACGACGCGACTTTGGCCTAGATTGTGGATGCGGCGAGGACCATGCCCACTAAGTTAGCCTTTGACTAATTGGTATAGACATGTGCAGATCATCCTGTTAGATTTCACATGTACACGATAAGACGACGCAAATCAAATGTTGTAATCCATCCAGCGCCCTCTATCCCATCACCCATATTCTGTCCCGTGCACCTACCGCGTAAACTTAATCCAAGCTCCCCTCCCCCCGAGGTAATCGGCTCGGATGGCACGTGTTCCGGTGGTTACTCAGCAATCCGCCGGTGTTTCGCACCGATTAGCTGACAGCTGGTCTTTGCAACACTGCCAAATGTCCAGTAATGAACCCACTACGGCCCGCCTTGGATCGTCTGCAATGGACCGGTCAAAGACTAGACGAGCGTGCGACAGGTGCCATGCGGTGAAAGAGAAGTGTCGCCGGATCCCTAGCCAGGACAGCTGCGAACGGTGCCATCGACTCCAGAAGCCATGCCAAACCCTGAGGCCCGTCGGAACTGCCGGTCGCAAACCACGATACCCGCGCACTGAGGATACGACTACACGTCGGGGACGTTGGATCCGTAGCGAAGCCAGCCCTTGCGCGTCATCCCCCGCATACTCGGCAGGAGAAATAACCCCCGCGCCTTCTCCACACACTCCCCGCGTGGAGCTCGTCTCTCTCGTCAGATCGCCTTCGATACTGGCGGGCCTCAGCGAGCGGGAGATGCACCTCATCACGTGCATCTCACAGGGCCGACCGCGTATTGAACAATTCCTCATCGCTCCGAGCTTCCGCCTGGCCCACCACAAGGCTGTCGCGCGTCATCTTTACGACGCCTCACCATGGATCCAGGACGCGTTGATTGCCACCGCGGCTCTTCTGACCAGCGAATACTCGCCGGAACCATATCCGGAAGATCAACTCATCGGCCATAGACGCGCAGCATCTGCCGTGTCCACGCTCCGCTCAGTCACCAAGATGTCTCCTGGTGACCTTCCCATCATTCTCGTCGTTGCCATCAGCGCCATCACGTTTGCACTACACATAACCGGATCCGCCTTTACCATTACTCAGCACTCCCTCAGCATCATCAAGCCCGTCTACCATCAATCGTTGGAGCTTGATTCTGATTCACACGCCTTCGTCATCTGTCTCATTCATGAGGACGCTGACGAATGCATGCTGCGGGCAGAGTTACCAACCCTGCGTTTCCTGGTTCAACGACCCGAGGGCTTCGTGGACCGCTATCTCGGCATCTCCTCACCATTGCTAGTGCATATGCACGACATCTGTGTCGTCAGCCACGCACTGTGCCATGAAGAGAACCCCAATCTCGGGGACATTGCACGGGCTCTGGACAAGATAGAGCGTGCCGTGGACGAGTGGACGCCAACACTCCCGGACGGCTACGCCACCCGCTTCCTACAAGAAGAGGTGGTCAGCCTGTTGGGCCAAGCAAAGGTCTATCGTTGGTCGCTGCTCCTAATCATACACCGACTACGTCATCCCTATGGGACCGAGACGGCAAAAGGGTCCCTTCTGGCGGATGCGATTATCGATGAACTGCGTCTTACGCTTGAGTACACCCAGCGCACAGTGCCCTTTGTCAGGGCCAACTTCATGGTTGCTTGCTTTGAGCTCGACAGTCGGGCGAAGCGTCAGGTTGTAATGGACATGGTTGAGGATGCCATTGAGTTCTCGAGCGAATACAGAGCAAGGGTCAGACAGCAGTTGACTGCATTTTGGTCTATGAGAGATTGTGAGGATAAGATACATTGGTGCGACATCATTCCCCGCCTCCCCCAATGATGCAATCTGCGACATGCCCCAAATAAAAGACGTTTGAGAGTAATAGCACAGAGAACACAGAGCTGGCTCTGCTAGTTCTCTACAGTTCGATGAGATGGCTGAAGAAGCGCCATGTGCCTGTACTTTTGCGCCGTTGCGATGCGAATGCGCTTGCCCCAGATGAGCAAGGGAACGGGAAATAAAAGGACTACAAAGCAAACGCCTGCCGTTATAAGACACACATTCTGAATGCCATTCCTCTTGATCCATGGGGTGAGCGCGAAGAGGATGACGACGGAGAAGACGTTTCGCACAAAAGTGACTCCAATCATCACATCACCGAGAATCTCCTGGTAGCAATCCGTTGTGTAAGAGAGAGCGACACCGCTGGCGAAAACGAAGCAGAAGCCAAAGAGGGCAAAGCCGACGCAAATAACCATGTAATGCATGCCCTGCCAAAGATGGTTAGTGAGATGAATCGAATAGGAGAGAAATTTAAAAATACCTTTTGCAGACCAACGCCGAAAATGATGAGACCGGCCGGTAGCAGAATTGCTGCTGCAAGGCCTACCCATAATCGCATCTCAGGCTCGTAAATACCCTTGTTGCGCTTTGCAAGATACTTGATGGACAAGTCGTTCATAGGACCGCCGACAAAGAATCCGATAGCCGAACCAGTGAAAGGGGCAAGGTTGATGAGTCCAACGCCGGATGGTCCGAAATTGTAAGGTGGCTGAAGCATGTAGGTGGCACTCATCGAACTCATCAGAGCCAGACATGCCAAAAGCATACCATAAGTCAACGCTGCGTAGGTAGCTGCTGGAAATGTGAACAAGATGATAACTGGCTGGTAGAAATGGTGGATGATTGTGCCTTCAGACTTTGTGTAAAGGGCCATGCGCTGGCGGTACGTCTTCCTAGGCAGAGTCGGGTCGATTCTAGACTCGAGTCTTTGGAGTTCGCTAGCGTGCTGCTCGCGGCGGGCTTTCTTGTCTAGCTCAAAATCGTCGGCGCGGTCATTCTTCGGTGTCTCTGTTTCAGTAGTCGTGTGGTGCACGCTATGACCCTGGATTACAGGCACGTACTTGGACTCTTCGAAGAAGAAGATGACCAGGAAAAGATTGATGGACAGGAAGATGGTGCAATACCACCAAGTCCATCTCCAGCCTTGGTTCTGCACAATGAAGCCGGAGGCGACCGGTCCGAGAGTAGCACCCACAGATGTAAAGATCAGGTACCATGCGTTCATGGTTCCATGCTGGTGTACGAAGAAGACGTCGGCGATGGTGATTTGGACAATGGCCTCACCCACAGCTCCTCCAAGTCCGCTAATGGTGCTGGCACCCATCAGATCGCCGTAGGTGTTTGTCTTGGCTTGCCAGATGACTGAAGCCAACTGCATCGCTGAGCTCATGACATAGAGAGGGCGTCTTCCGTACTTGTGCACAAAGGGCACAAACAAAATGCAGCCGACAGCGAGTCCGGTAGCCACCATGGCGTTGCCCTGGTTCAGTTGGTCGATTGAGAGATGAAGTTGCGACATCATGGGTCCCCATGCTGTTGGTCCGACCTGGAGCTGGACAAAAGTCCAGAGAACGAAGGATCCGACCATGGAAAAGTTGATCAGCTTTCGCATCGTGCTCCAGTTCAACGGGTCGTCGGGGTCGGAGCTGGGCTCCGGGTGGAGCATCAGCTCTCCTGATGTCACTGAGTTGACTGCGAAACATTAGCACGCCACGAAGACGATATCAGGCTCGACCAACTCACCCTGCTCCAGTGTAACAGTACCCGGCGCCCAGAAGGCCGGGTCCTCCTCCCTGCGAATGCTCATGCTATCGCTCATACTTGCAAACAAATGCGTCGGTTCGAAGAGATGAAGCAATGAATTTGTCGACTACCACAGGCATGAAGCTTGGGTGGATGGACCTGGCGTCAAAACAACTGGAGTGTGCCAGTGTATATATACATACGACGATACAGGGTCGCAATTTCTCCGCACATTACCACCTTCCGCAGCCTGGACCGTGCTATCTACCGCGTCTGGGGAAACTCGCGATCAGCGACAACCCACGGCGCAAATGAGCCCATTCAGAGGAGCGTGCAAAGCGCCCTAAAGACGGTATTTCACCGAATAAGTGGCTATGCTACTAATATAGGATAGCAATCGCACAAGATGATTTAATTTCCTGGGAATGCCGTACATCCCTTCGGCCAGCTGAGGTCGAACTAAAGCGAACAAATCAGACGACTACGAATTGACCGGCTTGGCACGGGGTAGTGTGCCACTAGTGACTTGCCGTTGAGCATCAGAACACGAAATACGCCCGGCGGTCGGTCCTGGAAACGTGTGCGCTTCGACGCCGACGGGCGACAACACCTCAAACCACAACCTCCGACCTGGTTATCCTGAAAAATTCTCGACGGATGACCCCGCATGAAACTGCCTTTAATGGGTACCGAGATGGGATCCCGAGGTCTTCCTCGCTGCTACCAGGGTACATATATGGCTGCATTCGATGCATCCAATAGTCTCCAGCACTCCTCACTCACCATCTATCCTTATCACTTGAACCGAAAACATCATGGCGTCTACTTCTTCCTGGGAGACGAAAGTTGCGGCGAAGCAGCAGGCTGCTCGCGAAAAGATACCAAAGGACTGGCTCCTTCCAGCCTCGGTTACCGATGCTCTACAGTTTCCCTTGTCCGAGCATGCCACCAATACCTTCGAGATACCGCGCAAGTCGGGTGTCATGACC